CCCCCCCCCATCGTCTCATGTGGTATCTGTCAAAATGTCGGGTTTATTTCCTCTCCTATATTGCCACTGGTCAGTCTTTCTCCTTTCGTGGCTTAACTGTCCACTGTAACAGGTTAAGCCATTACATGATGGTTTCTCGAAAATGTTTCTTCTCTTTTCCAGCCTTTTTAATAAATATCTTCGAATTGGCTTCTGCAAGTCGTTATTTGTTCATCTTTCACAATTTACTAGAAAACCTTCGGGAAGCAGAGTGGTCTTACGGAAATTTTGTGACCCTTGGCTGGAGAGGGAAGAGGTTGAGGGCAAACGTTGAGGGCGGCAGAAGGTTGAGGGCAAAGGAGGAGGGAAAGGCAGAGGTCTTTGGATCAGCCGTTTATAATTAAGGGCCAGTTGACATTGTGGAAAATTATCGGCCGCACTGCTTCCCCAACCAGGGCCCTATACCCTGGACCTATTCCTTAATGAATGCACTCCGAGCACGGGTTAGCTTTGTCCTTGTCTGCCTCGAATAAAAAGGGGCATAAATTATACACACAATATATATTCCCTTAATTATATAAACTTTATTTATTTTACAATAATTATGAAAAAACTTATATTAATCACTCTTATTGGTCCGGATGTTGGCGCGCGGGGGGTTTTAGTGTGGGAGGAAACCGGAGTACCCGGAGAAAACTCACGTGGTCGGGCAGATGACCCGATACCTTTTCACGTCCGATCGGGGAATCGAATCCCGGCCGCCTTGGTGAAAGGCAAGTGCGCTATCCACTGCACCACCCGACCACCCTTAATTCTAGACGGATACCCGTGGTCAGAACACTAAATCGGGACCTGGGCCTATCACGTATTCGGTTCAACCGCTTTGTCTGTTTTTAAATGTAATATTTTTCGGGTATAAACCCTGGCGGACACGCGATTGTTAAGGGCTCGCCTGAAAGCAGCATCAGATTACTAGGTCCGACCTTTGTCAAACCGGTTCAATCGTTTGTATCGCGATAAACGAATGCGGTCCTGATTTGAATGTTTGGTGAGCGTTTAGTTGCGATAACGTGCATGTTGCTTCTGGCAACGAGACATATTTTTATACATTGCATCGGCCGGGGGCAGAGGAGGGAGCCCGGCTATTAATATTAGTACTAGGAGGCTCGTTGATAATGACGACGTGTATAGAACCCGAAACTTACCCACAAATGAGATGAGTGTATAGTTGGTGTATGGGCAGTCCTCGGAACCGATGATAAGAGACCCGTGAACCTCTATGTATCGTACCCTGACCAGGGGCTCGGCCGCGGGACTCCACACCAGTGACGCCCCGCTGACAATGGTAATGCTGAACACGTCGATATCCATATCCAGTAGGACATCGCCAGACACGGTCACGTTGGAATCTTCGTCAAAAACCTGGGATGAAAATCAATAAATTATTCAATATACCGGTTCAAAGTTTTTCTTACTAAATTTTTCATGCACTTCTGTACTTTTGTTACGTAAGTATTCTGAAGTCAATTGTAATGCTGTCAAAACAATTTTTTTCGACAGAAAATTTGGTTTGGTAAGTTTGTTTGTGTTTTACGTCCTATTAACAGCTATGGTCATTTAAGGAGGTTACAGATTTTGGTGGTGAAGGAAAGTCAGAGTTTCCGGAGAAACACCACCGACCTACGCGCTACCACGGCCAGTACCTGGCGACTACCCCGCGTAGGTCTCGACCCAACGACCCAATAGTGGAGGGCTAGCTTTAGTGGTAACAGAATGTGTGACGCCTTCACCACTTGGTCACCGCGGCCATACCACGGACTTAGATAATCTAATTCCATGGCCATACTTAAGTATTCTGAAGTAAATTGTAACGATGTCAAAACAAATTTTGTCAGCGGAAAGAGAAATGTTCATGTGTTATCATAAAATGTGTAATGAAACATAATCAGGGACGTATAGTGAAGGGGATTAGCAACTCCCTCTTTGCCTTACCAATTTTATGACACGTCAATCTAGACTTACCTCCCCCTGATTTAGGAGCAGATAGCGAGCGCCACCTATCTCAATTTTGACAAACCAAAATGGCGTCGATACCGCTTCGTTAGATTACAGAAGTTGGCGTGAAAACAAACCAATCGCGATAAGTGTTCTTACGTCTTTTGTTTATCCCATTGTTATAAGCTGATTGTATTACTTATAATTGATAAAATCTGTGGTATCATATTAATTGATGTTTCGTTTTTGGGGTATATTTTTCTATTTTTAAACGCGATGTAACTTATATACTGTCCCTGAACATAATATATCCTGTATTGGCATGTGAAACGTGCCAATTATTCACACGTAACGTTTAGTTAACAAAATCTTAGTTCAAAAAAGATATATTTGAGGTCAGAAAATATACATTTGAATTCAAATTATACCATTTAAATATTAAAAAAAAACACCATATACATCCGAGTTAAAAAACACCTTCCGAGTGTTATTATAAGCTACACATTTGAATTTGAAATAAAATAGCATCCGAGTTCAAAAACTTTATAGATTTAGATTCAATATTCAAAATTAAAATGTGTTGTATTTTTAATTCAAATGTTGTTATTTTCCAAATTCAATTATATTTTTTTACTGATCTATTCTTCTTGTTTTTCAGGAGAGACTTTGGGAGTTTTAGCCGTTTTCTAAACTATTTTTTTTTTAATTTAAATGTAAAAGTTAATATTATTGCAACGTTTGATCACAGGGACCTGGGCTCGTATTCATGAAACCGTTTTCATGCTGAAGCCTTGATTTTGTGCTGAAGCCTATGTTCTTGTTCCGGTTTTACATTAATAACAAATTCTTATTTTATCAATGATTTGGAAACAAATGTACCCTGAACGAAAATAGGAATTAATATATTATTATTCTATATGATCCAAACACAAAAATGTCGAAAACAGCATAAAAATCGGTCATCCCATTACCGAGATATTGGCGTGTTCATTGTACTATTTTCACCTGTCCTTCTTCTACTAATTAGCATAATCGTACCTCGCGGTGATTTGGCGCTGTGTTCTCCTTTCTCCCACTTTTTAAAAAATACATAGAGGCAGTAATGGTGTGATATAGCAGTTATAGTCTGTTTCATATATATTTGACCTGGTTTCTACCTGTGTATACAGCACTGTCATATACATGTAGCTTTGATAAAAGTCTATTTTCATCATTTTTAGCCATTTGTTTCATATCATATACCATTTTCATTAGCTAGATCAATACAAAACAGTAACGTGAAATCCACAAATATTTTATGTATTTCATATACTTAATAGTATACATATAGATGATAATGCTTTGAATATTTTTTTTTTTTTTTTTTAATTCAAATTTAAATTGATTTGATTTTGGGTGAAGCAAATTCATATTGGAGCATTATTTTCAGAGAATCTTTTTTGCCAATAAATGCGTCTTCAGTGTAATTATAATACCTAAGTATCACTCATTAGATTATTTATGACATCACAAGTTCAACGCCTGAAGCGGTCACCATCGAAGGAGTTAGACGATTATCAAGAACAGCCATGGTCAATCTGATTAAAATCATCTGTTACATGGCTCCAGGGGTAGTACGATGTTAACGAAGCCATGTAACATATGATTTTAATCAGATTGAGCCATGTTCATATAGCGTCAGATTGCGAATTAATATTTTTTTCAGTTTTGAGGAATCAGATTATGCTGAAGATAGCATTATGTAGATGGTATCCAGTCATATAAAATTTGCAAGAATTTCCAGACAGTGAGTTTAATTGAAACCAAACTAACGACTCTGAATAGGGTAACATAGACCGGTAGCATTGCATGTCCAGATCCTGAGCACTGATGAGATTTTTTCCGAATGAACGAGTTTGAGTGAAATTAAACAGAAATAGTCTCAATGTTGTCGATCAAATGTATTTCTTTATTTTAGCTGAAAAGTCAGATTGCAATCATTTTCTTTACTCTACACAGATACGTATATATTTTATACGTATCTGCTCTACAGTGAGAACCAGTTTCTGTGCCGGAATACTTATATTGAAAAAAAAAGTTATATACTGTGGTACCTCTACGGTCAAAAAATACGGAAATGTATCAGTGAAAATGTTAACAAAATAACTTCAACGTTGGTGTCTGCTATTTTAAAATGTTAATATTTTTAGTATCACTGTTTGTTTAATGACAAATCCACGACATTGTGTCTTCCTTATGTTAGGTCGACATTTCAAACATTTGATTGTATACAATACAGTACCTTTGTATGCGATGCTAAACTAGATCACGGACTTTTATAATCTAATTCCGTGATTACATTTTCCTCGAAAATATAATTGAATTATGAGATTAAAACATTATATAGCATACACAAGTTATAATTTAACAGCTTGGTTAAACAATAAAAATAATCTCGATCTAGCATAACTTGGGTGTGAAATTTGTGCACAGTTTTGTAAATAACACTTAACACCGGTGTCCAGTGCTGACAACAGGAGGCCCAAGACACACCTATATACCTGTGTACAGGTATGACATCAAAGGGATGCCAGCAGGTGGGCAAGGGGGTACTTGAAGTTAGTATGTAGATTGGTGTAGATTATGTATCTTCCAATTTTCAATTTAACAACAATGTCCTCAGGCGAGATAACAGCAGAGACGTGTATATTACGTCTCTGGTATAAGGATCAATTTCAAGAAAAATATGAAATGCGTGTAAGGACTGTCACAGAGTCACATCATATGCAAACCACAATCTGAACAACTGCATCGCTCGACAGACGAAAGTCAGAAACGAGGCAAATAATGCTGGACTATGCCATGCACATTATACATGTATATCTTCTGATCAGGTGGTTCATTGATAAATTAGTAATTTTTGTGAGACTTGAACGGACATGTTCTTCCTCTGCAATATTCTAGAAGTGGTGTGTATATCTATTATGTGCTAAATTCCTTGGATTGCATAAAGAATAAAAACGTTTCAAGTTTTATGACTTGGAGTAAAAAAAACACGGGTTGCTGCTCATTTTGAGTATAAATTATTGTACTGGTGCACTTTTTTTGTCAACTCCAGACGTAGATCTACATATTGTTAAGAAAGGTATTGGTGCGCCTACGTTAATTTGATTCAATTTTTAATCAATTGTTTTGTGTTGTATATATAAAGGTGTTAATCAAATTTTCTAAATATCAATTTAATAATAAAAAGTATATTATTAAAAGTCATTAGATTAACCAATTATGTAAAAAAAAAAAAAAAAAACATATTCATTTACATACATGTAGCATCCAACACACCGATCATTAAAATTGTAAAAAAAAAATCATTTTTGTGTATGTAGTCTTAAATATCATCTATCATATAAGTAGCTAAAAAGCTCGAATATCGAACGAACTATCATATAAGTAGCTAAAAAGCTCACATATCGAACGCACTATCATATAAGTAACTAAAAAGCTCACATATCAAACGCGCTATCATATAAGTAGCTAAAAAGCTCACATATCGAACGCACTATCATATCAGTAACTAAAAAACTCACATATCGAACGCACGATCGAAGCTTTGACAGCGTTGAACTTGTGACGTCACAGATGTGGGCTACCCATATCGAGGCGATCGGTGCTGAGCCAAAGATGTGTTTTTCAGATAAATCACAATATCTCGGAAACGGAGTCAACTACGACATTCGCACTTTCTTAGCCTTTTATTGTGTAATATGAAGTATTTTCATAGCTTGATGTAGATCGTTTGACATGATTTGAGTGAAAATAAGGGCCCTAAACTAAACCCTAAAACATGTAAAATTACCCTGAAAACATTAGTAAATTATCAAGTTTGACGTGCCAATCTTCTATAGAAAATGCGCCTTAGATTGCTCTGTTATAGCACGGAATTAGATTATCGAAGTCCGTGGTTATAGACACTCTATGTGTAGCAAGTCGTGATAAATTGCAAGATGATTGGCGTGCTGTCTTTGAAGAGGGACCTAGCTCATCGCCTCAAAAGAACACGTTCGTACATATACGGCTTTTGCCAAGTTTAAGTTTTTTAAACTTAAACTTGGCAGACATCGGAAGAACAAAATTGACATTGCATGATATCATCTTTATTTCCTCCAAATTGGAGAGCATGATACAATGATAGTACATGAATAATACATTATTTACATTGGCCGAGGTTAGCCGAATCCAGATAACACATCATCAGCTTGAAGTTATGTTTATTGAAATGACATCCTCGAAATTCCAGGGGTAACGCTCACTTTTATATATGTTCTCTGCATCACTGGATAATGACATGGTCGCAGGGACCTGAGAATTTGTTACAGCTATGTTGGGTTGGACCTAAACTAAGGTGTTCAGAGTAATTTTACACGTTTAAATGGTTTAGATCAACTTTCGGTAAAAATGCGACCCCATCATAACCTCCAAAGATTGTATACCAAGTTAATGTCCTAATATTTCTATATCAAATTCTTAGGTCCCTGTGGTCATGGTTAATTAAGGCACGCGGCCAGTTGACTGGATCAGATAAAAGTATCTGACCAATAACTAGGCTAATATATTATTATATTAGTATATACCTGCCCATTGAGAACTTAAGAGAAACGAAACCCGAATTCAAAGCGGTCAATTTTACTGTTATGCGCGAGTCAATGTACGGTATATTCATATGGCCCAGGGCTTGTATTCATGAAACCGTTCTCATGCTCAAGCATGGATTTTGTGCTCAAGTCTAATTTCTTGATCCAATTATAAATTATTTTAAAAGTCTTATTTTGTTAATAAATTTGAAACATTTGAAGAGACTTAAAGACAAATACTGTTTTCAATGTTTACAATTGGCTTTTTGATCGTTTGGCATGATTTAAGTGAGTTACAATAAAGCTGGCTTGAGCACAGAATCCATATTCTTGAGCATGACAACGGTTTCATGAATACGGGCCCAGGCGACGCACGCGGAGACTTCGATTTCGGCATGGCACATGCCAGGGGTGCAAAAAACAGCATTGAGCGTTACGCTTCCGGAGAATTGCAAGGATAGGTGAAAGTGATTGCTGTTGTCAGCCGTGTAGTTGAAGTTAAAATTCTTTGAGAAGAATTGTTTTTTATCTTCTTATTTTTGACACTTTGGGGTGGTTTGCGCAGTGTATTGCAAATTTCGTTTTAAAACATGAACAACAAAGCTTATATTTTGAAGTAGCTAACTTACCTGGCCTGCCCACGTTCCATCTACATCGGACCATAACTTTAGAAACGGATCTTCATGCGGACACCAGCTCTGGCCAGCGGTCAGCAAGAACTGCAGACAGAAAATCGCAGCGGTCAAACTCCGCAACAAGTACACCATCTTTCTCATCCACGGATTTCAAAACTTAAAATCCAGGATAAACTCCCCAAAAAATAACGTTTCCTCCTTCACAAGGTATCTATCCTCAGTTTGTCATGTATTTTTTTTAAGATAGAAAAGTTCGAAAATGTTGGGAGTTTCCAGCTCAGTATGTGTCTACCCCAGTCGACCACTGAGAAGATTTTGGAAGACTGTCCGAAGTGAGTGGTCAACAATCGGACTTTAACATCACTCAATTATCTTTTGCCGGGTAGTTGACCCGTGGTCAGTCGTGACGTAGGCATCAATAGATCTACGTCTTATTTCGAAACGGTTTAGTGATTATCGTGATAACTTAAAATTGAAGATTTACGGTAAATATCATTAAGAAACGATATCTATTTTTTTAAACATTGATATTAATAAGATTTATGTAAAATGGAGGTATTCAAATATTTTTAAACTGACAATGGTATCAACTTCAATTTAATGCCAAAAATTATACACATTATTTGAGGATTAACTTGAGCTATAACACAAAAAACGGTGTACTCAAAATAAACCGCGAACCAATGAAAATGCTTGTCACAAGCAAGATTAAATTATTTAGTTATATGTCGGTATCAAATTTGAATGCATATTGCTGTACTAGTCTTCTTACTTACGTGTATAATGGTAATGTGTGCCTTTTTAGTTTACCTATAATGGCTATTACTATTATCCATGTGTTGCGGGGCCGCAGTGGCCAAGTGGTTATGGCGTCTGACTTTCTGCTACCACTAGCTCTCACCACTGGGTCGTGGATTCGAGACCCATTGTACTTTGGGCAGTTGCCAGGTACGGTCAGTGGTTTTTCTCCGGAACATCCGGCTTTCTTATAACACCCAAACCTGGCACGTCCTTAAATGACCATACCTGTTAATAGGACGTAAAACACAAACAAACAAGAGAACCATATGTTGTAAAGCGATTAAAAAGGAATTTTACAAAGTGTATAAAGCACTATATACCCGTTGTATATTATTATTATAATTAACAGGTAACTAAATTAATGAATAATGAAATAAGTTTATTTTTAAATGTAGACATAAACTTTAAAACAGGATTAAATCTTACAATTCTTTTCATTTTTTTAAAGAATCTTCGTCAGCTTATCTTTTCCACTCTTCAGATTTTAGTATGACCCTGAAACTATACAAAACACACACAGGTGATCGCACCTTTAACATTTGGTAATAGATACAGTTTGAAAAAATAATTACGCTGGATCATACAGGTGTTTCGTCCTTCTAGGTCTCATCGGTGATGATAGGGACCAAAATGTTGGAAATCAGAATTGGTCTAAACTACATTCGGCTAACCTCGGCCGATTCCGGTACCCGTCATAGGTACGGAATCTGCCGAGATGTGACGAGTGGTCTAAACTGCTGTTGAAACACAAGAAGAGGGGCGTACAACCATTTCATGAATTCATAAATTTCAAAATTTAGATGTGTAGTCGAGAGTGAAATTAAATAATTTGTATAGTGTGCATATCATTAACCATGCCACTACTCAAAAGAGATAACTGAGGCCATCAAGGTTACGGCAAACATCGGGGACTGGAAAATCCACCAGCATAGGTCCTTCGGTTTGGTTTTATTTTTTTGTAACGTCCTATTAACAGCTAAGGTCGTGTAAGGACGTGCCCCTGGGTATGTTGTGTATGCGTGCGTTTTTGTATGTGTGCCGGAGTCAGGGTATGTTGGCGTACTTGCCTCATTGTGATAGCGCGGATCGGAGGCCGATTTTAGAGTGCTACCTCAATTAAATACCATGCCGAAGGCACCGGTGCCAACATAGTATTCAACCCAGTCACATTATACTGACAGCTGGTGAACCCGTTTATGTCATGTTACACACAAACACACACATACACATACACACACACACACTAACACACACACACACAGGTGACTTCTATCGCACCGGTGTAGGTATGGATTGTTACGGCTGAGGGCCTTCGTGTCCGCGGAACATTTACCACAGTAGTACGGCGGTGTTGGTTTGCGCCGTTACAGCTCGGGGACATCGTGTCGAAATCTGTGACCACCCTATCATGTCCTTGAATCTAAGGAAAATAAAATGAACGAAAACAAACTATGTCTACCCACTCAATTTGTCTGTGCCCACAAGGATACACACCGAGGTCCTATATCTACGTCAATTTGAATAAATGAATACGTCTATTTATTTTAAAAGGGAAATGGTTTTTTTCTGAAAAATATTTGAGGAGAGTGTTGCACCCATTTTGTAAAATAACCCAGAGCATACGAAGTTGTTTCTATTGAAGTTCTGCAGTGTATGCGCCAGCCTGATATTGTTGTCAATTATGGTGTTTATCCAGAACAGAAATATTAATGCTTGAAAGAACACAACATTTCATCTTGAAAGCAATACAAGGTTTTGAGACTAAAACCCGTACAGATATGTGTACAAGTCTACTTGGATGGACTAATATAGATTCCCTATATAGACACTAAGAAATTGTTGTTCCTAGGTAGATAATACGAATTTGTCGTCTATAGTATTCTTTAAAAAACATTTTCACGTTGATATATAATCTAAATTCAGTTCAAATAGACAAGGATTCGCAGTTGATATACTAAGAATACTGCAAAAGTATAAATTGCTTGAAGTGTTTATAATGATTTTATAACTAACTGTGCTTTTCCGTCTAAATGTATGTGGCGTGTTAGAGTAAAGAATGCCGTATACTCAGTAGAGGAATTAGCGTGGTGAGAAAGAATGGCCAATGATGGCGATTATACCAGATTTTCTCTTATCCACGGTCATTTAGTGCCACATGTACTATGGAGACTGGCATTTAAATTCCCAGCCAAAAGAGAAGCTATACAACATGTCATGTAACTATAGAGAGTGTGAGGGTGAAGAATTATGTCATACATGTGGCTTTATGTACAGTGATATAGCCACCCATAAAGTTCTACAATGTGATTATACAGGAGAGTTAAGAGATAATTTATGGTGTGATATTATAAACATAAAGGATTTATTGTGTTATTACATTCCATGTCTGATTATGATATGCGTCATATCCTCATTGGAGGAAATGTACAGCATGAGTTGAATTCATCGGAGTTAGATGACTTTCGCATGAAATCTGTAACTTGTATATATTCAGAATGTGCAAACTTTACTACAAATGATGTGCTAACCTAAACTTTATAATGTGTCAATTGTATTTTTTTTCCTTTTTCTGTATTTGGTATGATGGTCATCTCTCTTAAATAACATCAAAGATGACTTTCTAAAAATCAATGCAACAAGAACAACCAGAGGCCACAACCAGAAACTTGAAAAACTGAGGTGTAGAAGTAATCTGCGTGGCCATTCATTTAAATTTAGAATTGTAAATGATTGGAATGGTCTCTCTGATCAAGTGGTTAATGCCCCATCTCTGTTTTCTTTTAAGACCAGGTTAAACAAATACTGGATAAATCACCCCACCAAGTTCGAACCAAGCTTCTACTAATTAGCTGGGTTAACACATACAACTTCGCAAATGTTCAATCCAAATTCAGTACTTATTTTTAACTCATGAAACCCTTAAAATGTATCTATACTTCTAAGTACAGGTATCATTGACAGGTCTATACAGGCCTGTCAGACCTTTTTTTATCAATGAATACCCTAATCTTATATGAAATCATTATACTACCCTTGTTATCATCCACTGAACCTGTAAATAATTTTCACTAGTTATTGATAAACACGTCTTCTTCAATACCTCCTAATGCAACCGGAAGTGAAGTGGACAGAATTAAGAAGCACCTCAAGAAGCGAGTGACGCTTACAACGGTGTCACAATCAATGAACCAAATGAACCAAATAACTTAAGATAAGTTAAGGAGCGTAGAGACGCAAAGGGGAGTTAACTCCAGCGTAACCCTTACTTTACAGTACAATTTATCTTTTGAATTTGCGTTTGAATATTGTCATATAACATGTACGTTACTTTGCCAATCTTCAATGAATGCATATATGTATTGTTCTGTTCGTGAATCTTCGATTCGGAGAAGATAAAGGGAATAATAATAATTGCGCGCTACCATCTGGGCCGACAAGAGTGATTAATATAAGTTAAATAATTTTCTTAACTGTTGTTAAATAAATATAATTTATATTTCTTTAATAAATAAAGTCATGTTGTGTGGTATTTTCCAAGACTTTTGCAAGTTGTACAGATCACAACTCTCGATTTTTACTTCACACAACTGAAATAATCTTCCTGCATGTGACCCCCCCCC